TTATATTTCTGAGAATGAAACAAGAATAAAATGAGGGAAAAACGTACAGTTGGACCAGCAAGCAAGGACGTTCCAGAATCGATAATAGCAGCACAACCACCCTTACAAAAACCTGAAGGTAGAATTGAAAATGAAGTGACATGATTGAAAAACAAGAATTCTGTATATTTTAGGTTCAAGTTTTTCGTAAAAAGATAACCTTCTTAACTACAATAGCTGCGGATATTACCTGTTGATACATTTCCTATAAGAAAATCTCCCATTTCGAACTGGTATAAGAAAGATATACACACACGAGAACAAGAGGAGATGTGGTGGAGAAAAATGAGACAATTGAGAATTTGATTTTAGTTCATGCAGAATAACCAAACTATAAGTAAATAAGCTATCTTCAAATACCTGCTAGTAACCTTTTTGTGGCACGGGAACATATTTATGGTCTCCCTATAGCCTATTTCTTTGCAAGAAACATGGCCGTGCAAGAAATTTAAGTTTTTTTTTCTTGAACCATTTCTTTGTTTGCATTTTGCTATGTAGGACTTGAGAATCTCACATACCTTCAAAGCATCTTCAATGGTAGAAATATTTATGTTACGAAACTGCAATGTGCGTTGATGATTGGAATCTAGTTTTGTAATCTATAAACAAAAACTAAAATATGACTTTAGACCTCAAAATTAGCTAATTGTCTAGTCTAAATAGAACTTCATGCATACAAGAAAACAGAAAAAAAAAATTGCACAAAAGCCAAAGTCACAGCTCACCTCTTTCACGCTCAAGAGCCCGACCTTGGAAGTACTGTTCCCAGATAATGACTGCAAATCCCTGCCTGAAACGGGTAAGAATCAACTCTCTACGCCAAGTCATCAACAATTTTAGAGGCAACCATTTCAAACAATGATATGAAAGAATGTGTGGAAAGCTTCCCGTACTTTTGGATGTCAAAGGGAACAAAAGATATATTTTTCAGTAAACAAAATTCTACTTTAAAAAAAGAAAAAAAAAACACAACACATATGAGATATAGACTCTTGATGGAAGTTAACTGTTTAAATTGTCAATATCTTTCTTCCCTTTGTTTATGTACAAACAATTTCTTATTGCACTTCATCTTGCAATCTAACAATTTACTCAGTGATAGAACAATCACACAAGGAAGATACCATTCATAAGTAATACTTCAGTCGAGTTGGGATAAGGATTAGTAAGCATCTCTGCATGTGTAAGAGAGGAGAGTACAAGGATCACACAACATAAGAAAGCAAAAGGAAAAAAATGCAATTTGTATTGAACCCATTTTGTCATTATTTTTCTTCATAAAATTCGTATAATTGAATGAATATTTTCAATTTTCTGTCACTTCAAACTCTAAAAATTAGTGCAGGTTACATAATTTTGTCATCCATTACATAAAATCCAGGTTACAAAAATGAATGCAGAAGCTTCATATATACTTGCAACACATGAATCAAGAAGCAAGTTTGAATTGATAACCTCATCAAGAGGAAACAAATATATAGTAAAAGTCAAACACCAATTAATAAAAGAAAAAAATATTAAGGACAAAATTATTTAATAATGACATCAAAATCATCTTGTCGTCAGAAGTTTTGAACTTTAGCAATATGAAGATATAATTACTTGTGGAGGAATCATGGTAGGTGGAGGTTGCCCATAGAATATTAATGAAACTACTGTCCACAATTCTATTGCATAACCATTAGAAATGAATAATTTTAATACTATCTAAATATGTTAAAAAAGAAGAAATAATTTTAACAAGACTTCCATGCAAAGATGAGAAGTGCATAATTTTCTTCGAGTAATGTCATTTAACAAGTTTGAAGTAAGTCATTGAAGCTCATCCCTACTGCCACATTGTTTGATACAGCCTTTTAGCAATACAAGGGGAAGGACATAGGATATCAAGGCAAGTCATCCTAGTTTATGCTTTACAATAGAGATTCAACAGTTCTAAAGTTTGTTAAGTCAGCACTAAACCTCATTCAACAATCAAAAGTGCATAATGTTATATAAAACTACTATACATTCTCTATTAAACACTTCTTAAGTCAAGTTTTGAGTTTGCTCAGCAAAGTTGGTTGAATAGAATAGGAAATACGGATTGTTGAATGAGTTTGATGTTAAGTACCTTTGGCGTTTCCATCTCCTAGTACGATTACTTTGTCTGTTGGAGGAGCAGTGACTCCCGGCTGTACCAATGTTGGAAGAGAGTAGCCAGCAAAATAGTTGGAGAACACATAGGTGTAAGGAATCCCTTCTGCCTCGATGGTTTTGCGGATTTGGGCCTTGATTGCAAACATGGACTTTGCTGGCTCTACAGCATGAGTACGATTTACATCACTGCCAAACTCCGAGGGGAAGAACCTTTGAAAAATTCAAAGAAAAACAACATACATATTAATTAACTATCAGTTAAAAGACTCTGTCTCTCACCATCGAAATATATATAGGCATGATGATGACAAATTCTTGGAAATAATTGAATCCACTGTCACCAGGGAAATTAGATATTTGATATTATTTTGTTGGGGATTTTGGCTTCCCCACAGCTCCAAGATCAGTACAAGAATTACAAAAGAAGAATGTACCAGCAACACAGCAGAAAGACAACAAGAAACCAGCAGAAGGTAAAACACAGAAGAACAGAATATAAAACAGGAAAAGAACTTCCTCAGCCTCTATTAACAAAAGACTTTGATGAAACTGTAGTCTTGAATATCCCT